TGGCTTCTCTTTTCTTATTAACAGGTAAAGAAACTACCATTCTTTCGGAATTGAGAATGAACCCCAAGAATCTACATTGTTTATCTGGAACAAGTGAGCTCTTTTTATAATTAACTAAGAAACCCAACTTGATTAGTAAGTCAAGGGTTTTATTGACAAACATTTCACAACTGTGAAATGATTCTGCAACGAGGAAAATGTCGTCGAGATATATTACTAATTGAACACCCTGTGTTCTCAATTGAGATACCACTGGTTTCATGATCTTCGTGAATACATATGGAGCAGTATTGAGTCCAAAAGGAAGACATGTAAATTCATAAAGGACCCCTTGAAACCTAAATGTGAGATATTTACGGTCATTCTCATGGATGGAAATCATATAATAGGCATCCTTAAGATCGAGCGTTGCCATGTAGCAATCTGGGGACATTAGATCTCTAGCAGTACGTAAGTCCTCTAACTTGAAGTGTTCGGTGGTGATGAATTTATTGAAACTCTTCAAGTTTAAGATGAGGCGAGAGGATCCATCAGGCTTAGGTGCAAGGAAAATACTAGAGATAAATTGGTTTCGCGATGGTTCGCATGTTTTGACTGCTCCCTTCTCTTGTAACTGCAACAGTAACTCCTGTATCTCTGCAAGTTCATGTGGGGACCAGGATCGCTCCTCAGGGAGTGAAAACTGTTGTGGTTGTGAATCAAGAGGAATGTTGTAACCAGAGATCCAATCTCTGATTGTTTCATCTTCCGATATGGAAGACCAGGCCTCAGAGAATTGTTTCAATCTACCTGCATAATTACTTACATCGTTTATTTCCTCCCTCGGTGATATGATTCCTTCCTGGAGGTGTAACCTCGAGTCCGAGGCTTCTGGGGGGTCTTCTTCTCCCGAAGTCGAGAGTTCGTGTGCCCGCTCGACCTCTGCTGCTTCTTTCCTGTGGGATAGAGCGGGCGTTTGACGTTTTTTGAGAACTCGTCATTCAGCGTTTTTCCAGGTTTCTTCAGATCATTACTGGTCTTTTCAAGACACTTGGAGGTTTTGATGATGCCATCTAGCTCCTTATCAAATAGTAACTCCCCGAATTTCACTTCATTAAGTGCGTCCTTCAAGGTTGGGTTTAAATTCGACAGGATTAGGGCTCTTCTAGTCTGAGATTCCTCCCTATGCACTTCAAGAATCAACCTAGATGCATCACTAATTAGACCCACACAAGACTTCTTCGCTTCAGGGTCAAGAGGTTCATCTTTCTTAAGAATCACCAAGGAGTTCAAGGCTTGGCCAAGGGCTGATAGACAAATCGACAGTTTAGTCTGTTTGGTGACCATTCTAGTGTCTCTACCTATTGCCCCCTCAGGCAGTGAGGCCTTGATTTCCACATTAAGTCGAGGAGCATTGAGTTCTTTACAATTCTCCGGTGTGGAATATTTTTTGATAATTTCCTTTTGCTCGTCTTTAGGCAAGCCTTTGGAAAGAATTTCCTTCCAACGGACTGCAATGTTGTCATTGATAGCTGGTCCCAAAGGATTATCAGGATCCAAACGCTTCCCCAGCAATTCAGAAATCTCAGGGTCAAGTGGATTAACCTCTTCAGGCTTAGAAACACTCGCAGTTTGTGAGGGATCGTTACCCGCCACAGACACTGGGACTTCGTTCACCTTTGGAGAAGAGACAGGGGGGTTAGGTTCAGGCTGATTCCCAATCCCATCTTTGGGAGGGCTGGGGTCCCTAGACCGACGTCTACTATTGTCTCGTGAGTGGGTCCTGTCGTTTCTTCTTGATCGATGTCGACTTCTGGATCGACGAGAGTTCTCTGAAGCAACACTTGAAGATGACGAGCTGTAAGATCCTGAATCCGATGAACTGCTGGAACTGGAGGATCTCCCACCTGGAATTCAATGGAAATAATGTCATCAAGGGCATCATCAACCCATGAACTCTTGTCCAGGAGTGATTTTTAGCGAATCCAAACAGGAAAACTCAAGGACTCGTGTCCGAGTTATTCTCAAATCGATCTGAGAATCAGAGACTCTTGTCCCTCTGTTTGTTTGTTTTTTTTTTTTTTTTTAACTCGTGTCAAAAGAAAAAAGAGGTGACCCAGGTGCATTGTGGGGACTAGAAGCTTCTCCAGTCACCACGTTTTCCACTTACTTTGCCGTCTCTAACCTAGAACAGAGAAGCAATTCTACGCAATACTTACGACGCTTGTGATGTTTACGAGAATGTTTTTTCTTTTTTAATTCTCTTTCGAGGCGACGAATACGTTTTTTCCAATGATTTTCATCGTCTGAATTCGGACTGTGACGTCTTTTTCCCATATTTAATCGAGCAAATACATTCAACTTGTTAACACTTCTGCACAAGAAAAAGGAATGGTGTAGTACCGCGCGACCAGTGTGGCGCACACATGGGAAGAAAATTTTTTGGTGGGACTTTTAATTTGTGGCACTATCTGTAGGAATAAGGGTACTACTAGTGATCTGAGGAAGAGGCGCGAAATAGAATTGGAAATATTTTAAATAAATTCAGTAATGAAGGAGCAGAGGGGAATTGCTCATGTTCCCTAGCTATTGTTTTATCTGGAAAACTATTTATGTTAGGCGGAAACCCCTAAACCTTTTGGAAGATGATTAAATTTTCGATAAGTATGTCTTTTTGAAAAGTCCTCAGAAAGCCAACAGTTTTTTTTTAATAAATCGATTTTAGCAGACATAAAATTTAATTTATCGCTCTGAACTCATCTCTCAAATATGATAAATAAATGTAAAATGAGCTAACTATGCTTCATGCATTTTTTTTTACAGTTGAGAAGAAATTTGAAATTCGAGGGATAGTATTTTGAGGAATTGGATTTAAGGGATAAATTAAAATTGCACTGACAATTCAATGAATTTGCCGAATTTTAATTGACAAGAAAATGAGAACTCCTCAGTTTTTTTAAGTTTTTAGTAAAAACTGCAAAAAAGAATTGCAATTAATAAAAAATCGACGATATAATTACCTGAATTTTCCATATTTCTAATAAAATCTGAAATTTCTGGAAAATTTCCATCCTCAATTTATTATTTCCGACATTATTTCATTAAATTTAAAACTTTCAATTGGCGTTTCCTTAAAATTACACTTAACCACAAAAGTGCTATAAATTTTGACTTTGAGTTAACAGTTAAACAACTTTCAAATTTCCCTGAAAATTCGATTAAAGTCCAGCAGAAAATTGAAGGGCCTGTTCTCCGGATTTTCTTCACTCTAGTATTATTTTTTTGAATAATTGCCTCTCATATTCCGCTAGATTTCTAAACTATTTTGAAGTTGCAGTGCAAAATGATGAGAATGGATTCTTTTATCTGTAAAAAACTATCTTTTGGAAATTTTTCCATAAAAATTCATTGATGATTAATCTGATAATGCGCTGGAGCTTGGTGGATTTTTTGGGAGTTTTTCAATCATATTCGAGCCTTGTCTTCGAGATTTGAATACTTGTAGTAGCTTGCCTGCGGCAAGCTGGAGCCACACGCTTTTAGAGTCTATAGAGAAACTTTCCTTGTGGCACCTTGGTCAGGAAGCGCCGCCATCTTGTCATTATTTTGTACGTGCGCAAGCGAGTCGCATGTTTCTTAGAGTTTTTTGTTGTTAGTGTTATCTTTCTTGGTTTTTTAACGAAATTTAGAGTTATTATGGATAAACATAAGAAGAGGAAGCACGGGGATAACGACGAGAAGGAGATCCTTCGTAAAATGCGTAGATTCTTCAAGAAGGCGCAACGCCTTTTACCTGAATGTGTGGACGCCGTGGAAGAAGGAAATCAGGTGGACAAGGAGAATGAGGACGGGAATATTCGCACTTTACCAAATGGCATTATCACTTCTGATAGCTAGAGCAGTAGCTCAGTTCCTCATGTGCCCCATACACCTGCGCTAGACGCACTTGGCTTAAAGCCAACACCAATACAGCCAACACCTCTACCTGTGGTGGTAATATCTCCTGATCTCGTTGTCTTGGAGGATTCACAATTAACGACACTTGATCCTGACGTTTTCGAGATTTTGGGCCCAGACCCCTCAAAACCCTCTGATACAGAAATCTCCCTTCAGGGGGATCTCGAGTCACATTGGGGCTTTTGGCTGTCCTCAAACCTCCAGAAGGAGGAATGGACAAAATTAATGGATCGTTATCCTCATACCTCCACCAAGTGTCTTTTTAAGGCTCCAAAACTCTATCCGGAGATTGCTTCGATCTCTACAGAGGCGTTGGTCCAAAGAGACAAGAAGTTTTGTGTATCTCGAAACCTCTCAGGTTCTGCCCTAGTCGCACTAGGAAGAGCAATTTTGAGTCTACTCTCGGAAGATGATGTTGACAAGTTAGCCTTGATCCAGAACTTTTACGACGTAGGAAAGATGACCCATGTTCACCAAGGTCTTGCCTTGACCAGACGAGCTTTCATATCACCCAGCTTGAATAAGCAAGTGCGCAGTGCTCTGGAGACTACAACTTCAGATAAGCAGCTCTATGGTTCAAATCTTTCTGAAAAGGTTAAAGAGGTCAAAACCATGGCGAAATTGGGTCAAGAGCTCGAAGTAACTGGACCACCACCGAAGAAACAAGGACCTTTAAACTCGAAGGGCACGTTTGTGTCGTGGAAAAAGCAAGCAGGCCAGGAACCTAGGATTCCGGCCAGATCAACCTCCAACCCCAGTCGGAGACCATTATCAAGACGCCCGGGGAACCCTCAATCGGCGTCAACGTCGACAGAGTCGTCCCGGAGAAGAAGTGGTAAGATCTGCAGGCTCTTTCAGGCATTGTTTTTCCAAGTGGTTATGAATTTCCTCTGATATCTTTGTTCTGGAGGCTGTGAAGGGATACAAAATTCCCTTCATCTTTATTCCTTATCAATTACACATTCCTCCGGAACCTATACTCTCCGAACTTGAAGGGGCTGTCCTGAGGTCTGAGATTAACAGATTGGTATTTCTAGGAGCAATTGAACAATGTGTCCCGGGCCATGACCAGTTTGTCTCTTCTTACTTTCTTATTGATTAACCAAACGGGGGAAAACCCTTTATTCCAAACCTAAAAAATTTGAATAAGTTTATAAAAGCTCCTCACTTTAAACTAGAGGACATGAGGACAGTGTTGAAGCTCATCTCGCGGAATGCCCTCATGTGCAAAATTGACCTGAAAGACGCGTCTTTTTCGGTTCCAATTCATAGGAACCATAGGAAATTTCTTCGTTTTTACGTGAAGGGCAATCTATTCGAATTCACCTACCTTCCCTTCGGTTTGTCAACCAGTCCGCATTCCTTTACAAAGGTGATGAAGCCGGTCATGAGCCATCTTAGATCAAAGGGCTTCATTTCATCTATTTTCTTAGATAATATCCTATGTATAGCTTCTTCGACTGAGGAGTGCTTAAGTCAGGCCATTGAAACTACAGCGTTTTTATCCTCATTGGGCTTCATCATAAATGAACAAAAGAACTGTTTTATTCTATCAAATCGCACTGAATACCTAGGTTTCATAGTGGACTCTGAAAAATTTTGCTTAAAAATTCCCGAGAGTAAAAAGGTGACAATTAGCAATCTACTTAGTTCATTACAATCTGGGACTAGCTGTTCAATCACAACGTTTTCCCGCCTAATAGGTTCCTTGATCTCCATATGCCCAGCCACGGCGTACGGCACGTTGTACACTAATGAACTCGAGAGAGTAAAACAATCGAATTTCATTATTAATGAAGGTGATTTCGATCAATTAATGACGATCGCCAGATCCCTTCAATCAGATCTCGATTGATGGGGTTCTCACTTAAAATCCTCCTTTAACCCCATTCGAACCAACCAGGCTAGATCAATCATTTTTTCTGATGCATCCCTTACAGACTGGTGAGTAGCCTGTGATGATAAGACAACGGGAGGCCTCTGGTCAGCCAAGACTTTTTAGTATCAATTAGCTAGAATTAAAAGCTCTTTAGCTAGCACTCAGATGTTTTCCTCATGAATTATCTAACTGGGAAATTTTGCTTCGGGTTGATAACACCACAGCGATTTCCTATATTAATAGATTAGGAAGTACGAGATTTTCACACCTTAATAAACTGTCTCGGCATCGAGATCGAGATCGAGAATCTCGTATTAATAATATAGATACAGAATGGGAACTAGAAGAATACGCTTTCCGATCCATCGGTAGGAGTTTCAGCTACCCGGATATGGATCTATTCGCTTCTCGGATAAATTCAAAATGCAAAATCTACTACTCATGACATAGAGACCCTTTCGCGCCGTCGATCGACGCATTCTCGATAGATTGGTCCAACACCTTCTTCTATGCCTTTCCACCGTTTTCGCTTACTCTACGCACAATTCGAAAAATCACTACGGGTAGA